GGACCTAATGACGAGTGCGACGAGGCCTCACTTGTGCACATGTTGCGAGGCTATGCGAGGCTTGCCCAACGGCCGGCCGACGCTGCCGGCCGAGGGACGCGCCGGGACACCTGAGCGCGCGGGGCAGACACACCTGGACGTGGGACACTCACGTGGGTGACGCGTGTCGTCAGAGTCCTTGCCGGAGACTGCCACGGCATGAACACGGATGAATCGCCGGAGAGCGCAACCGGACGAGCCGTGAGGAGGAAGAGGAGACTCAAATCGGAAGTCGGAATAATTCACGGAGCCCCAAAGTCCCGTGCCGGCAGGGCACCGTCAGCCAGAAGACTAGTGGAGGCGATCAAAATCCCGGACGTGTTTTGAGCTGCAGAGTCACTAGGACTCGAACTAAACGTGTGACCCCACCAATGGATTCCTCGTTCGAAGAGCAATCCATTGGTGGGGTCATACGCTCCGCTCGAGCTCCATTTAGCGACTCTGGAGCTCAAATCGCGTCTGGAATTTTGGTCACCTCCAACGGTCTTCTGGCCCACTGTGCAGGGCTCGCCAATTCTGCTTCCCGGCCTGGAGAATCTCCCCGAGAAAACTTTCGATGAGGCCGCGCCGTGCCGCGCTGGGGGCGCTGCTGTCGCTGGCCGGGGAAAACAAGGTGACCCACATCACTGCAAACTGAACAATCACTCATCAAGGCTGAAAGTGGAAGCAAAATAGGAAGGCGTTCCTCCCAGGCGCCACCGGGTTCTCATCCCTGCCGCTGCCCGGCCGGCGGTCTGCAGGCGGGAAGGAAGGAAGGAGGGGGGGGGGGGACGCGGTTCTTTCTGCCGTTCCCCACGGTCACTAGATTCTGTTCCTCTGTATCGGATTCCCTCATAATAAATGTTTTGGCGCGAAATGAGCTCCGTACCGGCTGGAGAAAGCGCTCTCCGTCGGACACCGCGGCCAGTGCAGTGCAGCCAACGCGGCGTCACCCGGCCTGCCCGGCCGCAGTGTGGTGGAAGCGGAGACCACGTGAAATAATTGCAGTTCAATGGGTTGTGAGGTTGTTTCTAGGAAACCTGTTTGAATAATGCAGAATATCGAGAATCGACAATAACTGCGCTCTGCTGGCATAGGAATGGAAACAAGCGATACCGGGTCGCGGAAAGTCTTGCATGCCCTGACCTGACACGAATTCTCGTGTGATTTTGGTGGGTAAGTACATCAACATGTGATGCACTCGCAGAAGACAAGCCAGTCCGCGTTTTGGCACGACACCATGAAGCAGAACGCCACGCCGCGACTCTTTTTTCGCGTTGACTGACATTGTCTCGATTGTGTTTGCCGTCCCCTTCCTCTTCCTACGCCGTCGCGGCGCGTCGCGGACTGTGTGCGCTGTGTCGCAACGCGCTGGATCCTCTCACACCTCAACAAGTGCCTGTGGGTGTGGTACAGTCGGTTATGAAATGTCTTCATTAAAACTAGAAAGGCGGAGTTAAAGGAGACAAGTAAATGGCACGACAGTTATATACACAGGACGTATCAGTCCCGGGACTGCTTGCTGGCTGTTGTTTTTTTGAACCAGCATCGCACTACAAACAATTAGTCCACTTCCGCGATGCAAATATCAGAGACAATGAAACTGAGACGTGGGCAGGCATCGAAGTGAAACGCTTGAATACAATAATAAAACTTTCCTTCTTTTTGAAGCGGGAACGGCGGCGCTAGCATTGTAACGTCAAAAACAATCTGTGGCGCAAAAAAAGGCGCGAAACAATATCCAGGCCTTGTTCGCCGCGTTCGCCGCTCCGGTATGAAAAAGTGCGCGGAACAATGCCTGCGGCTGGTTTGCTAGTTTCCGACCGAAGGGACATTACGCCGCTGATGGTTATTTGAAATGCAACCGGACTGAGGCCTCGGCGGAGCCTCTAGCCTCTAACCGGGTTGTGGGCGGCGGGCCGGCGGCGGACTGCTGGAGAAAGCAGAAGTTGGGTGGACAATAAAATTTCGCCACAATCCGCACCTTTATCCCCCGGCCATCCTGGCCGCAAGGCAGAGCAAGGCAAGCATGCCGCAGCAAAGCGGCCCTTTGTTGAACCCAGTCGGACCTCAAAGAACTCCAAGACCTCCAAGACCTCCAACACCTCGAAGAACTCCAGGGCCTCCAAGACCTCCAAGTAAGACGGAAACTTAGTGCGGGCCCTATGTCCTTAAGGTCCTGGACTGGACCAAAATCTTAAGGGACCAAGAGGGACAGACAGTTTGGGAGATATTTTGCCACTCATTCACTTTGGCCTTACATAGAAAATTTTATGTTTTTTGTAGCATACATAAGCCCACGAATAAGCATGCTTAAAACCTTACGTAAGCATACATAATACAAACTAATTTACTTTGTTATAACGAAGAAATACTCCGTAATTTACTAAGTATTCTCTTTGTAAGCTTATCTATGCTCAAAATACTTTGTTACAACAAGCACCTTTTCTTAGTAAGGCCTTTAATAGTTTGTAAGGCTCAGGCTCGGACTGGCCCCCAAAAGGCCCCAGCGGATAAGACCGCAAAAGGCCCCCGATCATCATTATGTTTTTACCCTTCATGACCAACTTTGTGAGGCTATCGCTCCCAAACTAGTTGCGGTCAATAGCCTTCCCGATACAGGGCATGAAAGAGTAGGGTCTTAAGAATACTAGGGCGTCGACGGAAGCATTTTACGGCAACTACATTGGACACAGTGGCCGCCCAAAGTCAGCAAAATCAGCAAATTTCCTAGATTCGACCACTTTTTGACCAACTTGGTCGGAAAATCATTGCGGTCAAAGCCAAAATCGTTGTGGTCAACGTCTTCCTGATACAGGGCATGAAAGAGTAGGGTCTTAAGAATACTAGGACGTCGAGGGAGGCCTTTTACGGCGACTAGATTGGACACAGTGGCCACCCGAAGTCAGCAAAATCAGCAAATTTCCGAGATTCGACCACTTTTTGACCAACTTAGTCGGAAAATCGTTGCGGTCAAAGCCAAAATCGTTGTGGTCAACGTCTTCCCGATACAGGGCATGAAAGAGTAGGGTCTTAAGAATACTAGGACGTCGAGGGAGGCCTTTTACGGCGACTAGAGTGGACACAGTGGCCACCCAAAGTCAGCAAAATCAGCAAATTTCCGAGATTCGTCCACTTTTTGACCAACTTGGTTGGAAAATCGTTGCGGTCAAAGCCAAAATCGTTGTGGTCAACGTCTTCCCGATACAGGGTATGAAAGAGTAGGGTCTTAAGGATACTAGGGCGTCGAGGTAGGCCGTTGGCCGCAACTAGATCGGACGCAGTGGTCGACCAAAATCGGCGAAAACGGCTACTTTCGGAGATTCAGTCACTCTTTGACCAACTTTGTGACGTTACTGGTCCCAAACCCGAAGGCCCCGGCAGATTTTTCTGCCAGTCTGCCCTGGCCAGCCCGAGCCTGGTAAGGCTTTCTCAGTGTGACTAACACGATCAGGGGTTTGAGCCGAGTCATTTAGGCCCGGCCCCCGAGCACGTTAATCCGGCTCCTAATTAACCGTGCGCGTGCCATGGCACCTGCTGCACCTGTTGTTCTGCATTCGGAAGTAGCCGGGCTGGCTAGGGGCTGGCCCTGGGCTGGCCAGCAAGGCGCGCTGCCCGTGCAGCCCGTGCAGGCCGGTTCAGTGTGCACCGCACTGCAACACACCCCAGCTGGCTAGCGCAGGCTGCTCAGGCCACCGCAGCGCCGCCAGCGAAAAACGGGGTCTTCTTTCTGGTGTTTATTGAAACGGCCGCCGAGCCTCGGAAATGGGAATGGGCCAAATGGGCCCGGTTGTCCTGTACACCGTAGACACTGTGCGGGTCGCCTTACGGTCCGCCCGTTTTCAACTCATCATGTCCTGAGAGGTCCTTACGGTGTTCTGCGGCGACAGGGTTGGGCCTGGCTGGGCCGGCTGCCAAGCCAAAGGGACAAGCCCCGCGGCCGCGCGGCCCAGCGGCTGCACTGCAGGCCTGGCGGAGAGTGTCCGAGTAGAGCACCTCGCCAAAAAATAAATAAAAAGTCTCTGTGAACTCACGTCTGAATGGAGTCATTCAAAACGGAGCGCACGCTGCAAGAACACTCGCGCTACAAATAATTTTACTTTTCCAGTCATCTCCCTCTGTCTGTCTGTCTGTCTGTCTGTCTGTCTGTCTGTCTGTCTGTCTGTCTGTCTGTCTGTCTGTCTGTCTGTCTGTCTGTCTGTCTGTCTGTCTGTCTGTCTGTCTGTCTGTCTGTCTGTCTGTCTGTCTGTCTGTCTGTCTGTCTCTCTCTCTCTCCCTGTCTGTCTCTCTGATTCGATGTCGGTGGTCACCTCATCGGATCGGTTGCGCGGGTTGCACGCCGCCCGCCGCGACAACTACTTCCTTTTGCAAAGTTGTTGATACAAAGGGGAGCCGTTCAGTGAAAGTGACCCGCCGCCGACCGCACGGCCGCACGGCGCACGGCCCCACCACAGGGCCCCCGAGATCCCCCCTCCCCCTCCGCCCGCCCTGCCCCGCGTGCACACCGAGCCGGGCCGCCGCAGCCCAGCCAGCCCAGCCACAAGCCAGTCCTCTCGCGGACACCGTGCCGAGCACACCGAGTGCATCACGACGGCCATCACCCAGACGGCGGCATCGAGGTGGAGGACGAAACCGCGGCCGACTCATTTTGTGTGTGTGTTTGTGTGCGCGTGTGATAAAGTGCTTCGTGAAACAAGTGCAGCAGGGAAGTCCCAACCCTCGTGAAACTGCTGAGGTCTCTTTCGAGGACGTCGTCGAGGATGTCCTGAGTCGTCGTCGCCGTCGTCGCCGAGGTGCAGCGGAGGTCACCGAGGCCGCCAGGATCGCGGCGTCGTCGCGGATGCCGGCCGAGTGGCGCCCCGAGGCGGCTGCTTGACGGCGACGTCGCCGAGTCGTGCGTCGCGGCGTGGCGGCGCGGCCCGAGGCGTGGCGGCGCGTGGCGGCGACGCGCGTTGTCGACCCCGGCCGGGGCGTGGCGGGGCGGGGCGTGGCGGGGCCCGCCGACTGTGTCAATAAGCACGGCAACCCACTGACCGTCTTTTCCAGTGGCGTGCTCCGCGCGCGTCACCGCGTTGGTTGACCCCTTCTTTACCTAGACGCCAAGTCAGTGAGTGTGTGTGTGTGTTAGTGCTGCCGCCCCATGTTCTCTGAGGATACCACCATGACCAACCACAAGACCTCCGTGACCATCACCATGGACAACAACAAGAACCACAACAACAACAATAACAACAACAGCAAGAAGAACGGCAAGCGCAAAGGATCATGGGACTCCAAGGTAAGTCCTTTAATTTCCGGTGGCGGATAAAAACGGAAAGCGGAAGCCTCCAGGTCCTGCGGGTCCTTCAGGGATTCGCGGCGCCCTTCGCAGTGCTTCGCAGGACACACTGGGAAGTTTTTCCGTCGCCTGCAAATCGAGGCCGCCCTAGCAGTGCCGCAGCAGCTACAGACTGACTCGCGCGTCGAAGTCTCCGCGGCCAAGTCTCCTTCCCGCTACGCGCTTTTTGAACCAACCCGCGCGGGAAAGAAGACCACTCGGCAGTAAAAGTAGGAGACGCGAAACAACAGTTGCGAGCCGGTCTTGGCCTTTTTTGCCGGTTTGTCGCGATATCGCTCCGCGTTGCCGTTGCCTTGGCAACCCGCCAGGCAGGCAGCCAGGCAGCCGGGCGGGTCCAGGACACGACTCGTTCCCAGGACGACGACTCGCCGAAAGCCATTTCCTGGGGACGGCTGCTGCTGCAGGTTAGGTGTGTGGGCGTGGAGGGAGGGGCTGTGGAAGCCCCACACAGTGGGCCAGGGACCGGTGGAGGCGGCCAAAACTCTAGACGCGTTTTGAGCTCCACAGTCGCTGAATGGGACTCGAACCGAACGTGTGACCCCACCAATGGATTCCTCATTCGGAGAGCAATCCATTGGTGGGATCACACGTTCGGTTCGAGTCCCACAAAGCGACTCTGGGGCTCAAAACGCGCCCGGGATTTTGACCGCCCCCACCGGTCTTCTGACCCACTGTGCGGTGCAGGTCGACTGCAGTCCCACCCCCGGTGCGACACCGCCACACCACCACGCCCGTGGAGGGTCCCCAGGATCGCGCTTCGTGCGCATAGTTCGCCAGTCATTTGCGGTACTCGGCTCCCACTTCCATGAACTAGTCATGAATACAAAGTGCCCCTCGGTACCTCGGTGCCTCGGTACGCTGTTTCGGGGCCGCGTTGCACCGCCTCGCACCCTAGCCTCGCACCGACCGCCTTTGTCCGAATGCGTCTGTCCCTTTCCCACTCACGTCGCGCGCCGAGCAAGATCCGAATTCCGCGCCACGCGCTGCAACACACGCATTGTGTGTGAGTGAGTGCAAGGGTGGTTGTGTGTGAGTGTGTGTGAATGGTGTGTACACACTCGCGGATAATTAGCCGCCAGCGCCACGGAAATCGGCCCCGCCCTTTGTTGTGTCGCTGTTCACTGCGAGGGAGTACATGAACCGGGGGAGGAGTGTTTCCAGAACGCGCAATGCCAAGGCGAGAGAGAGAGAGAGAGAGAGAGAGAGAGAGAGAGAGAGAGAGAGAGAGAGAGAGAGAGAGAGAGAGAGAGAGAGAGAGAGAGAGAGAGAGAGAGAGAGAGAGAGAGAGAGAGAGAGAGAGAGAGAGAGCCGCGCGCTGCTCTGGCTGGATGATCTCCGCGTTAGCCGAGTTGATTCCGGCCCGTTTTTCCGCCGATGCAATGTAAAAAAAGAGCAGGAGCGGCGCCGGCCAGTCCCACGCGCCTTGAGCCAAGCGGCCCGGCAAGCGGCAAGCAGCGAGCGCGTTGCCGCATCGTTTAATGTATTCTGTGGGATTTGGCGGCTCTGTCTTCACAATCCATCCGCCGTCCCCGGGGCGGCGACTGTGACTCAACCGAATCAGTCGTTGGCTTGCTCCGCCTGCTCCGCTCGACAGTTCGTTCAACGCACGGGGGAGGCTTCGGGGAGGCGGCAGGCGATTGTCATCGGCGAGGGAACGCGACAAAAATCGCTGCCCGGTGGGAATCGCATTTTGCGCTGCGACAGACTTCGTAATCACCATCGGCGCCTTTGCCTCAAGTTCAAAGACCGCGCGCGCCGCGCCCGGATTTCGGACGCGTCGCCGCCGCGGTTCGCTCCGTAGTTCCGAAACGATTTGGAATTAGTAATCACGAGATTTTTAATCTCTTCGATGGAGCAGGGCTTCTTTCTTCAAGAGGTTATATTAATGGAGCCATGACTCCATCTCGAAAAATTAAGAACATTTTTCTTTTGCCCAACACAATTTTTTGACTTTTCCGAGCGTGTGTTGCGCCCTTTTCCGACCGCTTTCCTCGCGTCTTGCGCCATATTGCGCGGAAAAGCGTTTAAAATCCGTTGCGGGCTTCGTCGCCGGGCTTCGCTGAGCGGCTGGACAGGGAGCGGCGCGGCTGGCACGGCGAACGCGCGCATGGCATTTGTGGCTGCACTTTGCTTTTCATGTCAAGTACGCCGCGCACGCCACAGCGCGACGAGCGCAGTGCAGCCAGCCGAGCGGACCAGAATGCACTGCCAAGAAAAAAAAAGCCAAATTGAAATGCTTCTCTTGTTTCGCGCCAAATGTCACCAGGTTCAGTAGCAAGAACTGCGACCGTGACTGGAATCGAAAATCTTGAACACGATATCGTGTGGCGTTTCCAGGGAAATACGTTTCATCCTACTCTTCCAGAAACCTGCTTGACACTCAAGTGTGTACTCCATTGTAACACACTTGAGCTCGTAGAGTAGGAGAACAACCACATTTCCCATGCACAAAAAAAAACTAGCAAGCAAAAAGAAAAATCTTTCTAAAATATACGTAACCGTTGTTGACCTAACGGACACCCAACCGTGTACGTACGTAGTTGTATCACAAACAAGGTGCAAGACAAAGACAGGGAGGTCGAGTTGGACTATCACCCTTTCACTCCTTCAGAGGTGGTCTGTCTCCCCTGCTGCAATTCCTTATTTCCTTATAACCTGTGCCCCTCTCTCTCCTCCTCCTGTCTGTCTGTCTGTCTGTCTGTCTGCCTGTCCGTCTGTCCGTCCTTTCCCCTGGCAAGCTTGCACTTGCCTCGGCAGTTGGCGGAGCCAAACCTGGAGATGAAGGAAAAAAAAGAGTAGCTGAAACCGGAAAGGGAAAGTGACGTACGAAACGTTCGGGCCGACAGGTCCGTGCGTACCGCCTACCGCGCTGCCATGGCACTGCCGCCCCGCGGACAAAAAAATGGGGCAAGTCTGCTGGGCGTGCGGGCCAGCCACTGGTGTTGGGCCGTGGGGCGTAACCCGCTCCTCAAACAAAACTAATTTACGACTTTGTTCTGCCGATTTCCACGAGGCTTTGCTTGGTATATCAGACTGTGCTGCATGGCAGGGCACGGCAAGGCACGGCACGCCACTCCCAGCATTCTGCATTTCCTCTACGGTAATTGAATGGAAAGGTCAAGCCTTCCCAAACAGCCTCGCACTCGCTCGCAGTGCCTGCTGCACAGTGGGCCAGAAGACCGGTGGAGGTGGACAAAACTCTATACGCGTTTTGAGGTCCAGAGTCTCTAAATGGGGCTCGAACCGAACGTGTGACCCCACCAATGGATTGCTCTCCGAACGAGGAATTCGTTGGTGGGGTCACACGTTCGGTTTGAGTCCGCTGCTTAGCGACTCTGAGCTCAAAGTTTTGTCCGCCTCCACATGTCTTCTGGCCCACTGTGTGCTGCTTCTTCTCCTATTTTTTTCAAGGGAGTGGCTGCGGAGCACCCATTCTCTCGCGCGGCGGCGGAAACTCTTGAGTCTTTGTCGGCCGCGCTGCTCGTGTGAGATACTGCCATGCGTTCTTGCCTCGTGGTTCGACGCTGTCACAGGCTGCGGTTATTGCGACACGCCGCGGGCTTTTTCTCAAGCGGCAGGCTGGGGAGCCAAGTCCAGTGCAGTGGGAGAAATATTTGCAAAGTTGGTCAGCGACAATACCTACAACATGGTGGGCCAGAAGACGCGTTTTGAGGTCAGTCGCTAAATGTGACCCCACCAATGGATTGCTCTCCGAACGAGGAATCCATTGGTGGGGCGCGACACGTTCGGTTCGAGTCCTATTTAGTGACTCTGGAGCTCAAAACGCGTCTTTCGTCCGCCTTGGCCCACTGTGCAGAATCCCAGAAAATGATGAGCGCTCTCTGGCCACGTTTGTTGGAAGTGTTACAGCATCCAGTTGTCATGCGCAGTGGCCGCGGTGCCCCGACGAAACCTTGGCGACGGATATCGGACTGGTTTTCCAGTGTGTGGCGGCTTTCTCTGCATGGTCTGCTTGGCCTGGTCGGCCTGGCCGGTCTCCACCCGCGTGCGCCACGAGTGCGCCGTCGACGCGGTCTCCACTGCCCGTACCTTTTGTTGCCTATTAAGGCACGTTCGGTCGCTACATCTGCTCTGCCCGCAGCCCGCAGCGGCTGCAGCCGGCAATCGCTATTCGCAGCGCGCAGCACGCGCAGCCGCTCGCCGTGCGAATAGTGCTGTAGTCGTTAGGCCATCGAGATGTGACGCGAGAGGCGTGAGAGGCAGTTGGGTCGGACGAAACCGAGGGGCGCTAACCTAAAGGGCCTGAACCTAAGGCAACCTACCTAACGCGTCCTAACCTAAGGTAACCTGACCGGCTAAGCTAACATAACCTCCCCTAACCTAAGTACTGTAACCACCGATGGCACTTCAGTGGACGAGAAGCCGCAGGGCAAGACTGTCGAAAAGGTTTTTCCCCGATCCAAGTGCTGCTGCCACACTGCCGCCTCGAGAGAGATTCGCCCGATAAGCGTCCTGCAGATAAGGCTGTGTGTGTCGGCCCACAATGCTATTCGCACGACAAGGGGCAGGGCTGCAGGCAGGGCCTTGCGGTGGCGTTGCATCAGTCCGGCAAAAAGCAAAGCACCGTGTTCAGAGGCGGCTGTTTGGCGGCGGAGCGGGAAACTAGAAATGGTCACACTGCTTTGTGGAACCACTCATAAGTTTGTGCGACCTTTCGTCTTCTTTCGCGGCCCCGTTTTTCGTTGTCGCTTTCGTTGTTGTTGTCGTTTGTTTGTTTATTGTTATTGTTCTTCTTGGTGTTGTGAAGTTCACGAGGAAGGCGACTCGGTCAGAGGCACCACACCCAAATCACCGCGCCCCTTTCCCTTCCGTATCGACTTCATACTATTTTGGCCGTGTGGTTGCAGACGACATACCAGCGGGTGAACCGGCTGGAATTTGCTTCCCTTTCCTCCCGTGATGCAACACCGTAACACCGTGCCGTGCCGTGCCCTCGGCCGTGCCGCGCCGTGCCCTCGCGTGGCTAAATGCCAGTAATTGACCGCGGCCTCCCGTGGCAGCAAAGTGTGCCTTGCTTTAGTACCCTCTGCCGACCCCCTCCCCCTCTCCCCGCAGCGCTCCTGCCGCTCTCCGCGCGCCTTCCCTGCCGGGTTTGGCAATGTGATGGGACCCAACCAACACCGATTGATCTAATCGAGGCGGAGAATGAAAGAACGCTCCGCTACTCTGCGAAAAGAAAAGGAACAGAAACGACTCTTTTTCAGTCCAAGCTGCCCCGTTTTTGTTGTTGTTGTTCTCGTTTTTCTCGATGCCTCAAAGTCGTGCCGTGCCCTATGGTCTGCGCTACCTCGGGGCACCCTTGGGCAGTACACTGCTAGCTGGACTGCTGGGCAGCGCGGGTGGCGATAAGTGGGCGGGGCGGAGGCGTGAGTTGCAGCAACACCGCGAAGGTGCTAATCGGACCGGCAGGGCAGCGCAGGGCAGCGCAGGGCAGCGCGGCCCCTCTGCTTACCTTTCTCCCAATACACTGTCAAAAATAAAAATATTCCAAAAGTCGCTTCAGAGGCGTCGAATCGACCGTGTGACCCCACCAATAGGATTCCTCGTTCGGAGAGCAATCCATTGGTGGGGTCACACGTTCGGTTCGAGTCCCATTTAGCGACTCAGGACCTCAAAACGCGTCCGGGATTTCGACCGCCTCCACCGGTCTTCTGGCCCACTGTGCGGCTTTCCGGGCGGACCTCGCCGTTTGCAGCTGGCCGCGACTCGGCGTGGGCGTCGCTGGGCGTCGCTGGGCGTCGCTTGCGCGGCACATTCGACGTGCACCGGCATATGGCTGCAGCCGCTGCAGCAAACGCAAAAGCGGGAAACCGTCATTTTATGTGAAATTCAAATTGCGCGCCGATTTCACGGTGCACCGCTGGTGTTGTGGGCGTTCTATTGGCGGGCTGCGGACTCACACAACACACACATCCACACACGTGCACTCACACCTTGCGAGTGCCGCGAGTGCACCACCTTATGCCCACAAGCAAATATGACGAACGTGGACGACGCGTTAGTGTGTGTCTGTGTGTGTGTGTGTGAGTGTGTGTCCGTCCGTCCGTGTGAGTGTGTGTGTGTGTGTGGCTGTGTGTAGCAGTCGGTCGCTAATAACTTTCACTGTTGGTGCCGTTGTGGGTTTTACGTGTGTGTATAGGCGAGTGGTGTGTGTGTGAGTGTTCGCGCATCCAGCGTTTTCCCTCCCACCTGCGTCCAAGTCTCCAAGAGCACCCCGCCGCCTCGCCGCCCCGCCGCTCCGCCGGGTCGAGTGTTCGCACCTGGTGCTTCAAGCTGCCAGCGTAGCTAGGAGTACGTAGCACGCAGGTGCACGGCTGCTGTTCTCCATACTGCCTCTCCTGCTGTTGCTGCTAATTTCCCTTGGATGACGCTCGGAAGTCGCTTTGTTTTGCGGCTCGACGCGGCTCCAGTCAAGGCCCGCCCACCGTGCCGTACTACTAGCGCACCGCCGCGGCGCACTGCGGCGCACGGTTTCTGCGAACGTTGTCGCTTTCTCTGCACGAGAGGCGTCGGGGCGTCCAGAGCGGCGTCCAGAGCGGCGCGACCAAGGTGGACCTGGTCCAGAGCGTGGCCGTCATGCCGCCAGTGCTCCGTTGTGCCGCGTCGATCACACGTACGGCTCGAGGCCTGCTCAGCGAATCTGGAGCTCAAAGCGCGTCTAGAGTTTTGTCCGCCTCCACCGGTCTTCTGGCCCACTGTTCGCTGGTCGTGTGTACAGGGGTTGGGACACCCCACTTGCACGCAGCGGCTCGTCATTTTGGCCTTTCTGCTTCCTCCGCTGTGTAAAACCTCGCCAACTTCGCTGCCTCCGTTCCGAACACGCCCACGCACTCCCACCGCAGAATTGCCTTCCTGGCTCATTCCGAGCAGAGAGAGAGAGAGCGACGCACGGTTCGGAATCCGCCTCCGGGTGCGAATTCTCATGGGACACACTTGGCGGCAACAATTAGACAATTAAGGCGTCGCTTCTCTTGCCGCTCTGCTCTGTTCAAACGAGACTTTTGTTTCGCATTCTCATCGTGAAGAGGGAAAGGAGAGTCATGATGAGTTTCTCTTTCGGGGCGGCGGAGCTTGGGCGGGGCGCCCCGGGCCCGTGTCAACCCCACGTCGTCACCCCCACGCCCCTCGTGTCTCCCGCGCACAGTGGGCAAGAAGACCGGTGGAGGCGGCCAAAACTCTAGACGCGTTTTGAGCTCCAGAGTCGCTAAGCAGGACTCGAAAACCTCCATGCTGGTGCAGCCTTGCCCCGTAAGACATTTACAGTGCGGAGGATCTCAGATCTGAGCGCGAGCGCGGGGACTTTTGTCGGGCCGCCGCGTGCAGGCTGATTCCGAACTGTTTGTCTCCCTTGCACCCGTGGGGCGTCCCGCAGAGGTGCGAGAGGGACAAAGAGCCCCGTTTGGGGCGCGGCGCAGCGAAAAGAGAAACGGCTGCCGTTCGGAGCATCGCGGTCCCCGCTTTGTCAAGATCGTCGAGCCCCACCCGCGTTCTGTTAACTCCACTCGGTCTCTCTCCTTCCTGCATCGCGCTCCCTCCCACCGCACAGTGGGCCAGAAGACCGGCGGGGGCGGCCAAAATTCCAGACTCTGGAGCTCAAAACGCGTCTAGAGTTTTGGCCGCCTCCACCGGTCCTCTGGCCCACTGAGCACCACCCCACTTCCCCTGGCCAGCATTAGCAGTGTACCTCGCGGGCCCTTCTTAAAACCACGCCGACATAAATGCCTGAATGGAGGGCCGAGCCTCCGTTCCGGTCTTCTATGTCCAGTAAGCGGCTGCGGCCCTGCGTGTGTGTGCGAGTGTGTGCGTGTATGTGTGTGTGCGTGATGTGGGGCGTGGCGTGGCGGGGCGGGGCGGGGCGCTGCCGACGTGCGCGGCGTGCTCTTGACACCGCGGCGTGGCCCCGACGTGGCCCCGGCCGTGCTCGCGGTGCCCGGGTCGCGTTCAGTAGTTCCAGAGCCACAGCCCGCGGCACACTGTAAGGACAGGCATGCATGCACACCGACAGGGCCACGGACAGAGAAAACTGGATGAGAATTTCTTATTTCTCTTTTTTTACCCAGTGTGTAACGATCCACGATCCACTTGTTTCCCCGCGATTGGCTACACTGTTTAGCGTGATGTTGCGCCCACCTGTTTCTTAGGTTGGCACGGCCGGCACCGTTCGGCGTCTCGGCGGCGCCACGCTCGGGTCTGACTGGCTCTGGCTTTGCAGCTTCGCTACGGGAACTCGCTGCAAACCGCTATCGGTCGGCGCCTTCAAACAGTCGGCGGGGCGGGGCGGGGCGGGGCGGGGTGGGGGTCCAAATGAAGAACGGTGAGGACAGGGCGAGGCAGGGCACTGTCCCGACGAGCCATTTATACCTCAACCTCAACAAATCTCGTTTGTAGTGGTGATTCGAAACGCTGTAAAATCCGCGCGTCCAGACCTTTGTCTTCACTTCCAACTTCTGTGGGTGCTGTTGTTTGCTCCTTCGACTGATGCAACTGCATGCCACTGTGATATCGCCCCCATAAACGCATCCCCCGAATGCCTGTCCTTTCGCCGCTCATTTTCCCCTGCTGCACCGCCTCGCCGGCCGTTACCGGTGCAACCGTTCCCCGAACGCGACGTGCGAACGGTGTGCCGGTGTGCCATAATCCGGCAATCCGGTGCAAGACAACAATAGGGGGCGGTGGCGCGATCGTGGCGGGCGGTGCGGCGGTGTCCGGCGCGATGACGTATGACCCTTTGGTTCGGACAGCCCTCCGGTACGACGGCCACCGACGGCCCCTCGGCTCAACGGCGCCATAACAAAGTCTGAAAACGCTCTTGTATAACACCACTCCCGCGGTGCAGGCTGCAGGCCGTGCTGGCCTCCGGGACGCTGATACGTTCCGGGACTCGGGTCGGGAACGGTGGCCGGCGCGTGCTAGCGCGTGCCGGGAGAGCCCCGGAGGCGTCGGCCTGCGTCCGTCTCTCTCGCACCCCCACGGACTCCGGGACGCCCCGTGAGTGCGACAAAGACGGAGCGACGCCACCTCCGCGGTGCACGTCCGGCGGAGGCTGATATTGTGCGGAGTGGTTACAATCGGCACAATCGTACAAAAGGAGCGTTTCTCCGCGTAGCACCGCGAAACTTCGGCGCGGCCGGTATTTTTGCCGTTTGCATCGCCGCGCGCGATGGAGCGGCGCCCGATGCCCACACTATAAAACCTATTTTTACGACGAGGCACCGACCCCATATATTTGAATAAGAGCCTCGCTCTATTCTTCTCCTTCCGAACGCAGTCAACGGCCACGTCCTGGCCCCGCGGACACCCTATGGTCGTCACTCGGGCCGAGCCGAGCCGAGCCGAGCCGAGACTCCACCACCTCATCGCCCTCGTAAATCACATAAGCCGCCCGCGATGCAATGCAACGCTCCAGAATCGCACACTGCGGAAAAGGAGTCCTGGGATCCAAAGTTGGTCAAAAAGTAAACATTGAAATATTTATGAATTCTTGTTAAAATTAGCGGCCAATGAATCGTTTTCTTCTTTTTGAGGCTCACTCAGAAGCATTTCCCCAACCAATAGCCAAATTTTCAAAAAAAAAAAAAAAAAAAAAAATCGTGGTGCGTGCCCTTAAGATC